CGGGCCCGGAGGCGTCCCGGACGGCCCAGCGGGAGGAGGTCGGACAGCTGGCCGCACGTGGCGCGCACGGCAGGCTTGTCACCCACCCCGCCTGCGACCCGCTCTCATTGCCTGGGCACCACGTTCGTGAAAAAAAGGAAGGCGCGGGGGTGGTAGCGGGCCCTGCAGTGTGAGGTGCTCTCCAGGCGCCCAGGGCCCGTGGGCGGCTCCGGCCCCGACTGTCGCGCCGACCCTGTCCCCTCTGACGGGGCGGGCCTGCAACAGTGCGGAGCGGCGTCGGTCCCTGCTGTCCCGCGCCGTGCGCAGAGCACTGCGCGTCCCGACCCTGTCTGCGCGTCCCCTGGTAGTCGGGGTTGCTGTGCACACGCCTGTCTGTCACCTCGGGGGAACGTCTGCGCTCTCCTAGTCTGCATTTAACGTCTGGGTGACACAGTGTGACTGTAGTAAATCATTGACTAAGAAGTGTTAGTCCTGAAAGCTGAGGCTGCATCCAGTGTCAGAAGGAGCTCGCAGAGGTCTGAAATTGTCAGAACTGCATACCTGAGCACAGCCGTCCTTCATATTAATTACTTAAATGCTATATCGCTTAAGGTTTTTATGCAGCATTTTCCCCTCTGCCCCACAATTTCAGTCTATAACAATGGGCAACTAGCAGATACATTTGAAATGTTCACAAAGCTAACCTTTAAGAGAAGGATCAGGAGGGAGGAAAACCCCAATTAACATGGAATTGACCCAAGTAATGGCAGCTGTCTGGGCAGTCTAGTTCAGCCTGGAGAAGAAGAGATCAGGTTTAAGAGCACTGCCCGTAAGGCGGTGCCACTGCTCGCCCCACTCCTGGCTTCTTGCTCTCGGCCCAAAGCCCAGTTCGGAGTCTCTATGACTAACGTCCTGTGTTTACCAGTTTAAGACTCTTGCCCTTGGGCCGGCCCGTGGCTCACTCGGGGGAGTGCGGTGCTGATAACACCAAGGCCCCGGGTTCGGATCCCACATGGGGATGGCCGGTTCGCTCACTGGCTGAGCGTGGTGCTGACAACACCAAGTCAAGGGTTAAGATCCCCTTA